GACTCTCCGAGCTCATGGTGAAGTATAAATAATTGATGAGCATCACTCATTAAGTTTGCCTAAACGTTACATTCGCTGTAATTTTGCCAGACGTAGGCGGAAAAAAATAGAAATAAGTCATCTAAGTCGGTTAAGAAAGCTTCTTCAAAGAGCACATTTAATATCAGTTTTCGGAGAAAGCAGCACTTTAGTATTCGAAAAAACCAAAATCGAAGTAAATCATCCCTCAGGTTTCTCCGAAATTCGGAGTAAATCGTTCTTATCTTTTCCCAAATTTGGTAGTAAATCGTTCATATTTTTTAAAAAAGTATGGGCGTGTAAAATACAGGAGTTTAGCTAAAATACATGAAGATTTAAAAAAAAATTACTTGAGAACGTAATGATAATTTGACATCTTGAGCCGAAAAACAAACGTTTTTAGCTGGAAAACAAAACGAGGAAAATTATTAGGCATAAGTCGAGTTCGGGTCGGGTACGGGTACGAGAATGGTATCCGTGCACATCTCTATTCTGATGCAATGACATAGATGTAGGTATGCACCAGTTACAGTTTTTTACCAGTTAACTGTACTAACGGCTCATAACTGAAGACAAATATTCTAGAGTGAGGTAGTCTTCGACGATTTGCATACATTTTAAGAATGTCTCTATCGTAATATATACGCAAATCGTAGAAGACTAATTAAAGAACGAACAAGCGACCAATTTATCGGGTCGCCGACGCATTCCGTGTAGCTAGTTCATTAGAATGTATCAAATTAGACAGTGTGGCGGCTATTAAAGGATAGAAAATAGCGCTTATATCTTAAAAATTAAATATGAACTCTAAATATGAATTCCCAGATCCCAGGTGTATAAAAAGATAAATATTTATGTACTTCCGCTATTTGAATATAAGTTGTATCGCTAGTAGCTGGATTTATGCACTTGCTGATCTCATTAAACACGCATTCTCCACCCGATTAGAACATCTCGCGCTTACTTTCAATATATAGAGCAGTAGATAATTCAATGAAAATTATGAATTTTTCCTATCTTCTACAGTTCTGCGACACTAGGGTGTCTAACTTTTATAGTGCATTTTCTGTGGTAAATTAGATACTGCTTGGATTGAACTGTAGATTATGTAGACTGCTTGCAAATGTTCGACTTTGAGATGGATCTGCTCGTGCGACTTGTACGTGACAGACCCAGAGATATTATTAAACTAGGGAAGATGTACATGATGGATTTGTACGATCCAACCAGCGCACTCAAATGTTTTGAGAGGGCTGGAACTGGAAGAACGAGCGAATGCTCGAGATACATTGAATAATGTATTTTACGAACATCTCAACATGCTTAATGGTGAGCAAAATAAAATTAGACTCATTGACCAAGCACGTGATATGCAATAGCAACTGTTCTGTATCGTTTTTAAACGTTTTTCTATCTAGAAGATGAACAATAAAGTGACAATATAATTATCGGCCGATGTCAGATCGGCGCGAAATTTATACCAGACATAGAACATCGAAAACGAAACTCGAGATGTTTTTGCCCAGAATTTTCTGACATGTTCTTCTATGGGTTTTCTGGAAAACTGTAGTTTTCATCGGGTCATATTACGACCCCACAAAAATGGGCAAATGGGCAATTGCCCATTTCATTTGGAGATTTGCCCATTGTAATTTTTATTAGTAAGTTTTTGCCCATTGAAATTTTACTTAGCAAATATACCCATACGGTTTTTTTGTATAACCCTTAGAAGGATATATGTAAGAGTGCCTATAGACAGAATTGTTTGTTTATTTTTGAATTAGATTCTAATTCAAAAATTGAAAGAATCTCATTTCATTTTTTGTGTTTTTTTGGACCAAAAATCTTTTGGCCCATCGACAAAAACCTTGTCCATTTTGTCCATCGTTTTTTTCCGATACAATAGAAGTTTGCCCATTGGACTAAAAATTCTGGTTACGCCTCTATTCTAGGGATATTCAAAACACAATACAAAAAGCCGGTTTTTTATTTTAAAAATCTTCTCACGCCGAAAGCTGAAATCGAAAACGCTTAAAAAGATTCTCATCCTAAGACAAGGTCTAAAGTGTCTGTGGTAAAATTTTGAGCTCGATCCATTTTTTTGGAGGAGTCATAATGTGATCTGATTGAAGGAACTATAGAAAAAACGCATAGTGAGAAAAACACATTGTCACACAGGGCTCTGTTTTCAGGGCGTTTGCGATGATGCTTATGGCTGCACAAAAACTCAGCGGAAAATTCGGAGAGATGTCTCATTTTGAAGATTTTTTCTCCTATTCGATCACTTTGATTTTTTTTAATTTTCACGTCTAATAATTAATTACTGTAAATGAACGGAAAATTTTGACATATCTATCATTCGACTCGATTTTTGACGCTGATTCCAAATATGTTCAGCTCAACATGAAAACTTTTCTGCAAAAAAAAGGGGTGGGGTACCCTTAATTACGAAAAGAAACAATCATTTTCAAGAACAGTTTTATTTTCTGCAACAAAATAATTTTTTCAATAGTCTTCCAGGTTGTGTTTGATAAAATTCTTGAATATAAATTTTTGACGAACAAAGTGAAAAATGTGCATATTAACGGTATATAACGAATAAGATCCATTGCAACGTGACCAGGTAGTTTCGTCTTCATGTGAGCTTCGGCGCACCCATCTTCCAGCGTCGGCCATATAATGTGTGGTATCACACAAGTGATAAATATGCATGGTGGTATAAGAAAATCTGCATGATTTTTCAGTTGACTGAACCACATCGACCAAAATCGTCCATCATTGTCTGTAAAAAATATGTATCTTTTCAATATTTTTGTAAGAATGAGAATAGTCGAAATCAAATTGAGTAGACACTGAATAAAACTCATAATAGAAAAACGAATTATAGTAGACGAGCCCTGCGGGACGATCTTCATTTGTGCAAGTGTAAGAACCGCTGAGCGCGGGATCAAGTGAGTACGTGTAAATGAGTTATAACAACGAAAACGGCCAATATGGCGGAAAATACGAAAGCGTATCTGCTGGATCGGTACATACTAAAACTGAAACTTTCGATTAATGCTCGTTCAGTGGATACAAAGGCGCCGAACCACAGAGCACTACGTTCCATTAGACCAAAAAGTGAGGGTACAACTCGACAAGTGATTAAACTCTGGTCAATCAATCGATCGTTGAACAATGCAAGAATTAATTTTGTTTCGAGTAGTACCATGACGAGTAACGAGCACAAACTGTAAAATATTACACAGACACCGACAACTGCTCTCTTATATGCACATATAAGACGGTGCTCTCGTATATGCACATATATGCATTGTTTTATTTTTTTGTTTTTGTTTTTGTAAGTGACGTTACATTCACAAAAAAAAGAAAAAAAAACCGAAACTCACTCACACACGGAATTCTATCTTTATCTGACATAGTTACATCTGTCTTCTTTCTTTCTTCTTTCTTTGTTTGTTTTTCCTTTGTCTGTCTCTTTTACAAAGATGGTATATTGAGCGATATAATGCAATTATTGACTGTGATTTTGTTCAGTATATTACGCTTTTCCTTCTTTCAAACAAATAAAAAGTTTATACTAATTAAAATTTACTTACTCACAAATACGAATACTCAATTATTCGCATTTAGAGTTCGAATTTTAGTTTCTGAAAAGCATATGATGTTTATTAACATCAGATGAAGATTGCGAACACTGATCGCGAGTCCAAAAACTGCATGTGGTGTACATCACATAACCGTGTTAATTTAATTGAAACATTAAAGTGGTCTGCTCATACTGATCATTAGCTAGAACTGTTTTGGGAATGCTACATATTTGTCACATCACATATAAAATGAATTAATAAATATTATGGCAAATCAAATACGTGATAGTATTGCTGAAAAAGTAAGAGAAAAATATTTGCTAATTGCAATCTTCTAGAAATTCTATAAAATTAATTTATATTCTATGGTGGAATCCAAACCAGATCTGATATTAGTCATTGCTATAGAATGTATTTTATTATTTTAGTTACGTGATAATGTGTACGCGTTATTAGCGGATGAAGCAACAGATGTTAGTCATAAAAAACAATTATCCATCTGTCTTCGTCTAATTGAAGATCAATATCAAATAAAAGAGTTCTTCATGGGATTTGTTCGTCTTTATCGATTTGATGCTGCTACATTAGCAAAAGAAATAAGGGATTTCTTAATAAATCACAATATTTCGTTGTCCATGTGCATAGCTCAATGCTATGATGGGTTTAGTGAAGACAGTTTAGACGCTTAGGCTCTGTTATCTTCTGTATTTTTTTCTTTAGGGCTAATTTTTCAGCAATTATTCAAGCATTACAAGATTTGATACATGACGGAGGTGGTCGTGCGATTGATGCTCGAGGTTTGTTAGTGGTTTTAAAGGACTCAATGTTTATAGTGGCATTGTTCATATTACATCGTTTGTTGGGTCAATTAAGATTCTTTCGGCTCAGTTAAAAGGTATATTAATTTTTTCTAGAAAATTAGTAGTACTTTTATTTTCATTTTCAAATTTTATTCAAAAGGAGTATCCACTGATCTCGGTAGTGCACAAAATCTCATCAATACAATTTATGAACCATTCAATCGTATGAGAAATGAAATTTCATTTAAAGATTTGTTTCAACAAGCAATAGCATTTGGAATAAAAATGGTGTTGATATTGGTGGATCTGTTCGAATCGACGTCAAACAACAATTTCGCAACGTTTTAAAGATTGTATTATTACAACATCAGTTGGACATCGAGAGTATAATAATAATGAAGAAAATTTTCGAACAACCATGTATTTTCCAACAATCGAAATTGATAAAAACTTATGCGCAAAATTCGATGAATGATGAAAGACTTAGCGATCTTGGTGTGTTGGCTATTGAAAAAGACATCGAAATAGATTTTGAAAAAGTTATTGATGTATTTGCTGCGAAGCACAAAAATAGTAGAATTTTGTTGATTTGATTAAGATATCATGAAATAAATTTAGAATAAAAGCTGATCAGATATTGATTTATATTTAAAAAAATAGATGAGCAATAAGCTATTAAGTAGTATATTAAGCAGCAAAGTACTGTATTGAGTTTGAAAAATTTTGAAAAAATCTTGTACTGCTACAGATACTTGAGAGAGAGAGAGATAAGGATAGAACAGAAAGAAGCAGAGCACAAAAGAACACTACACAGTTGATAGAATCGAACACTTGAACTTTGAATTCAAATGCAAAGAATTTACTTTTGGACTAAATTGTCCAAAAGTAAACTCTGAGGTGTTCTCATCCCCATCCTGTGCATTGCTATAGTGTGTTCTACTCCCGCTGCTCAACCCATACAGCTTATATCCTTGATCAGCGACCAAAGCCTGCATACTCTGTGATGAGTTATAGAGAGAATTAAGAGAGACATTACATCACAGAACAACAATGGATACTTTGGACAATGGATGTGGAGCTGAGCTCCCTCTAGGCCGAAATCCTGGCTCCACCCCTAAGTAGTAACGGAAAACCGGGAACCCGCCACCCCTAGTAGCAAGTGTGTTATATTCTATAATTAGCCCCTAGTAGCGCTAATTATAGAATATAACACATATAAACTTAAGTGTAATTTCATACTTTGAACTAGTATAAATTCAAATTCATTGAGTTATCATTTTTTCCTAGTAATCTGTTTTGATGCGAAAAAAACTTTTTACGTCATTTATCAAAAAATGATAGTAACGCTTCTAAGGTCTAATAACTTGCATTTATTAGTTAACTTTGGATGCGAAAAGTATAGTGTTTGGACTATGCAATAAAACCAATAGTAGAACATCGAATCAAAACAAAATCCAGCTACATCTGCGACATCTAATGTATGTTACTCCAGTGGAAATTAAGAAACAACTTTAATATTTTTCAAGTAACGATTAATTAAGCAACATTTATCCGCTCTCCTTTTTTTCGACTCTACTTGTTTTACAGAAAAACTGTTCTTTATAGAGACCATTGTCACAGATACATCGCTAATATGGTTACTTAAGAAGAAAAAGTTATAATCAAAAGACTGAGAGACTCATTTATTCTGCAGCATCCGTTACCCCTGAAGTTTAAAAGCTTGATGTTTTTCTGATATGTATATTTGTTTCAATTTAGATTGAATTATATTTTTGTGTAAAGCACAAACACGAAGAAAAAAGCAATAGAAAAATAGTAAAAACAATTTTACATAAAGAAAGTTTTGTACAGAAGGAAATACCCAAACAATGAGGAATAGAAAACAGAAGACAAATAAAGCAAAAGAAAAATATAACACCAAAAACTACCCTCACGATACCGCTCCTTCGGCAGCTTGTTGTTTCGTTTTTTCAGATTTGCTTGCGACCGACGATTTCTTTTCTTTTTTTTGTTGACTGAATAATGTTTTTTCATCCCAGGTTCTTGTTGTTCTGAATAACATGGTGGTGAATGTGGTCGTTTCTTATTGATTTCACTTTTTGAGCCTATAAAGAAAGAAGCAAAAATCTACGAAAGAAAAAAGGAAATGTATCTTTACTTTGTTTTTCAGCTAATAAACTTTTCTCGGATAAATTACCAGAAGACCAATGCGTATCTGTCATGTCAGGCGACAGATCTCGTTGAGAATCAATCAAACCTAAAGTGACAGGCGTGGATGGTCGACGTTGCACGCCGATTGATCTTGCATTTGTTAATTTTTTTGGTTCATAACTGGCAATTACTGGTAAATTATTGTCAGATGGATCATTAATCCATTGAAGTATAATTTCATTTATACCACGCAGTTTTTCTTGGACTAATTCTGGTAGACGATTATAATAAAAACGGGTGGCAGCAGTATCTCTAAAAAAAGCATAAAGTTATTAAGTAAATACACAAAAAAACTTCTTATGTTGGCAAAAATTCTTCTATTTGTAATGATGTATTGTTTGGTAATATATTTCTAAATACAAAGAAGCAGAATATGAAACAAAATGTGTTGCTTATCGCAGTTTCAGGTCTTCACTTACCCGGTTGATTCATGTGAAAAATCTAGATGTTTTTGCTGGCGCATAGCCCAATGCGCCAGCAAGAACATCTAGGTAAAAGAGTAAAAAATATTGACTTATCTAGATGTATCGGGTTGAATCCAATGCCACACAATGCAAATCTCAATGCCTTGAGAGGCTAGAAAATAGGTAAGTAAAGCAGTGCTTGCTTACAGTAGTCTGATGCGTGGACGGAGACAAAAAAATATGCTTATTTCGTGCACTTTTCGTTTTGAACCTACCCAACTTCATTGGATGAAAGTTCTGAGTTTAAACCAAAATCAAATAAGATTTCATCTCCGAATATCTCCGTATATGCGGTAGAGCCGAAAAAACTAAAAACCAAAGATGAAATCTCATCTGATTTTGGTTTAAACTGGTCAGAAATTTCGTTTAAATTGGTCAAAAACGAAAAGTGCACGAAATAAGCATATTTTTTTGTCTCCATCCACGTACCAGAGCACTGTATTGGAATAAATGTATTTATTGAAACACCGACATATCCGTGCATTGACAATGATGTCTAGATGTACTATCTGAATCACTCAGACAGCCAGATGCATGAACCACTTAATAGACGCTAAATGCATTGTGCACAGCATTGCTCATGTAGATGCATAGGCAATGTTATGTCGTTACATCGAGAAAAACATTTATCTGTATTTAGATGCATCTAGATATCTCCATATTTATCTAGATACAACGTGCGATGTCTCGATGGCTTTCTTTTTACGCATTTAGATGCATCGACCAGTGAATTGACGAATCTAGATACATTGGACGATACTCCATGCTTTTTGTGTGCTTGGGATGTTTTTGTATCGGAAATACAAGAGGATTATGTAATCATATCACGTTCTTCTCTTATGTAAAATATGCTAAAAATTTCAGATGTCTAGCCTTAAGAACGGCTGAGATCACAGAGGGATGCTTTCGGCAATGTATTTCTTCATTGAAGTCAATAGTGCTAGTTCAAAGCAGTACGGTTTCCTTGTGAATAAAAACTTTGACGAGTCCTCTATCAGCGAGGAAAAAAATCAGTCCGATTGATTAAAGCAAAGTGGTGATATTGAAATTTTTTATCGTCAAGCTACTTATGGCCCACCCTGTATGTGTGTTATTTGGGCTGAACGGGTTATAATAAATAATCGATTGAATTTCGCATGCAGTGCAGTTCGAGATTTTTTAAATATATGATAAATTGACCACGATGGATGGGATGAACCATCATTATGAACAAGCAAACAAGAATGCCCCATGGTACTTCCGGACACAGATCATTCGAAGACTGTGTGAGCAGTAGTGTGCTCCCAGTAAGTCTATGACCGTAACCACGATTTGCGATATGAAATCCGAATAAAGTTGGTCCCATAAACGTCACTGAGTGCTGTTTATTAAAACTAGAGTCACACGTAATGGACAATTCTTTCATATAATCCCTAAAGTAAGAACCTCCATATTCCCCGACGCGTAAATTCAAAAGCACTTTCGATCGGGATCGTGTATGCTCTAAGCCGATAAGAACCAGCTGGACGATATACTTATCTGGGTGTTTTTCTATGAGGATGTAGTAAGCGTTGGATAGAATGTGATTGATTTTGGATAAAGCAGCCGGTTCAACCGGGTTATCTCGATTAGCCAAGTCGTTCCATAATCGCAAAACGTCGTTGGCCGTATTTTGCCTTAGTTGAATGGTTGCATCGACTAACTGCTTCAAATCGATTTTATCATTGGCAATCTGTCCTTCAAGCTTCAGCAAATACAATATTTTCCAGCTCTTGATTTTACCAGCACTTGTAGGGAGGTGTCCATAGCGAAACGAATACAAATTTCGCCAGAACGATTCCCGATGTAGTATGGTGTACCATTTTTTGCACACAAGTTGCATCGAATAAAAATCGAGCGTATCGGCGATATTGACAAGAATCGTTTGCATGGCAAGCTCGGGTATTTGCTCGAATAAACGATGATTATCAACTGTGAACTCGATGCATGGCAGTAGTGCATGAGATTTGTGTTTGAATTTTTCGTTCTGAATATCGACCAGATGATCGATGGCGTAGTCAGCCAACCAAGGTGGACCTCGAGTACAAATATGCTCCAAACCGACGAGAATATCATTGCCAATGGATACTGTCACCGCTGCTTGGTACAGGCAGGATAGTCGTTCGGCTTCTTCATCTTGGAAAAACTTTTCTCGGTTGATAGTTATACCTGTTTGCCCATCATATGGGGTGATAGTAAATTTATCCGTATCAGAAGGACGTTGACCATGTAATTTCTCGTTATTGCGAATAAAGAAGTCACATAGCACCTTGTCTTCATCGGTAAGAGGGTCGGTGATTCTGAGCAATTGCCGATAGTCTTTTGCTGTTTTTACCCATTGATGTGAGTAATAAAGCATATACTTTTTCAATATTAGCAGAAGTTTGGGGGATGCATTTTTCGGACGGCTGGACTCTTGATCTCGCCAAAATGATCGATGAATCCATGAGTCCAAATTGTGCAATAGATATGCTGTGTATGATGTTGATGATCGTGGAGTGGCAAAATCATATTTGACCTCACCCGTCAGTTTACAGCAGACATATAGGTCTAACGGATCGCCATCTGATGTTGGAATGATCAGATCAATAGTTTCGATCTTTGTATCGTTTAAAGTAAACCATTGCAGTAGAAATTGTGAAGAGCAAATAATGTCCCAATCGGCATTCATTTCGTCGCGTGATTCTCCTCGAAAGTTGGGCAAATGACGGCGAGCGGCGCGTGAGCCGATTAAAATACTGTGCGATGGAATGGATGGGAGAGCTTGTTCGATAATGGATATGATTTCTGAGTAAACAGATGTACGTCGAACCTCGCAGCGTGTCGATGATGACAACATGGTGCTCGAGTTGACCGAAGAGAAAAAATGAATGCTTAAAATTATTTCACAACTGCACCATTGTATGAGTCATACAACGATTGCAAACGGTTGTGTAATTTTCACTACCGAATTCAAAAGAACACTACATATAACGGCTGTTGCGCACACACACAAAAGTCGAAGAGCAAGCGAATTCAGATATGGATGGATAGTCAACAACCAGGTTGTACGATGATACAGAGAGAGAATAAAAAATGAAAATAATAGTCAAGGTCTGTTTCGAGACCAAAAAAACGAGAGAGAAAGAAAAGAACGATGAAAAGAGAAAGAGAAACATACTATTATTTCTTCTGAAAATCGTTTTGAAGTACAAATCTATAACTGCATGATATATATACATAAAAAATCTTCTTTCGAAAGCCTTACATTCAATAGAAGGAGGTCAAGACTGAGGCAGAATATATTAACGTGTCATCAGCGTACATACTCATATAACTATCTGCCGTAAGAGTATCATCTTTACCTCGTTCGAACGCGCATATCATCATCCGCACACCGGCTCCGGCTCCCAGGAACCGGAGCTGCCCAGCTCTGGCTTGAGTACAGTATAGAGAC